GCGGGGCTCACTGTGTCCTCTCGTTTGTCCCCGCCGTGCTCCAGGAGGAGGACTTCATCCGGCCCAGCAGCCGAGAGGAGGCCCAGCAGCTGTGGGAGGCCGAGAAGATCAAGATGCGGCAGATCCTGGACAAGCAGCAGAAGCAGATGGTGCTGGATTACCAGTGGCTGCGGGAGGAGGAGAAGTCCCTGGTGAGCGAGCGCCGGGCCCGGGGTGGGGTTTCCGTGCCCTGCCTCCCTCCGCGTCCTCTTCCACACCCCCCGGCTGGGTGGAGCAAACGCATTCCTGGTACTTTGGATTCTGGAACCCTAAGTCCTTTGCTTTGGTCTCCTTCTCTGCAGGACCCCATGGTTTACATGAACGACAAGTCCCCATTGGTAAGTCCGCAGGAGAGAAGACCCCCACACCACGGGACCCCCGCCTCCCGCCCCGGGCCTACCCAGCTCCTCCTCGGCTGCCCCCCATCCTGGGAGACATCTTTTCCCTGCGTGCCAGCCTCCACGCAGCTCTTTTCCAAGCTGTCCTGTGACCTGCACCCTTAGCACCGCTGTGGCCTATCACAGGGCCCCTCTGCCTCCCAGAAAGGTCCTTCTGGTCAGGAGCTCTCAGACACCGCCATCAATGGCCCTAATCTCTAAACACGGTGGAGGGGCTGGGGACAAATGAAGCGGGGAGTGGGTTGTCGCAGAGCAGTGTGAGTGACAGGTTCTCTCTCCTCCCTTCCCTCCAGACCCCGGAGAAGGAGGTCGGCTACAGTAAGTGCTCCTGCCCTTCCTTTTGGGGGGTTTCCGCTTGGCTTCTTGGACGGGGCCACTGTCCTTGCTCATTGCCCAGTGCCGGGGGCAGTGTCTGTGTGACTCTAGGAAGCACCTGTCTTGCTTTAACTCGGAGTGTGCGGGGAGGGCCGGCTTTGGGGCTGAGAGCCACCATGCTGCTCTGCCACCCACGTCCCTCGCGCCCTGCCTGGCACCTTTCTCTTCCTCTTTCAGTTCTCAGGTCCTCTCCCCCTGCATTTGTCCCAAGGAGCGGGGGCTTCTCTCCTCCCTTGTATTTCCTGCTCACTCTGTGGGAGGCTCCGTGGGGAGGAAAATGAAGTAGCTCCACCCGCCTCTCCCCGCTCACACTCATCTTCTCCAGGCCCCAGGGGTGGAAGGGAGAAAGCGGGAGGGGAAGCCAAGACAAGGGGTCTCCAAAGCCTCTGCAGAAGGCAGGGAGGGAAGAGCCAGCAGTGAGCCTGGCTGCTGCCTGGGTCCTAGAGGGGTGGGGCTGTTGATGGTGATGACAACAGTCACAGAGAACTTAATACAAGTCAGGCACAGGCCCTGCACAAAGAGGCACAGGATGGTTGAGTAACTTGCCCAAAGTCACACAGCAAATAACTAGCAAATCTCAGATTTGAACCCATACATTCTGGCTCCAGGGTCCCTTCTGAGCTAAATCTCTTATTTTACAAATGAAAATTAAGGCCCAGGGAGTGTATGTGAGCGGCCCCAGGTGGCAGAGCTGGAGGGGAGAGTAGAACCGGGAGTTCTGAATCTCACTCCGTGCTCACTCCTCCAGCGGCTCCGCTCCACAGGCGTGTGTGTGTCTTTGCTCATCAAAGTGGGAGGAAGAGCCCGGCTCTGCTGCTGTCCCACTTCCTCGGCCCAAACGGTCAACGCAAACCTTTAGAGAATCCTCACAAGTCTACCCCAGGCGCCACAGACCCCTGCCGCCTCCCGCGCGAAGCTTCTCCCCCAGGGACGGCAGGGCCGCGGCGTGCTGGTTCTCAGGCCTGGCGTCCACCAGGGAGCAAGCACTAGCCGGGGCAGGACGCCCACTGCAGTCTCTCCAGCTCGGCCGTGGCTTTGGTTTTTTCTTTCTATAAAAGGGACAGCAGTGCTTGTCCCTGGTTACGGGAAAACCAGGGAGAGCAGAAGGTCATTTTCCCTGCCATCCTGGACTTTGGGCTCTCCTGGTGGTAGAGCAGAGGGGTTCAGCAGGCACAAAGGGACGGGTTGGGGTGCTCAGAACCGCCGCCCACTCGCCGTGCTTTCCATTGCAGTGGAGTTCACGGGGCCCCCGCAGAAGCCGCCGCGGCTGGGTGCGCAGGTATGTTCTGGCTCTGATGAAGCTGATAAGACTCGATTCAGAGTTCCACGAGGCTGCAGACCACGGATTGAGAAAAATGTCACAGTTGCTCGGTTAGAATCTAGTCCAGGATCCTCATTATATAGATGAGGCCCAGAGAGGGGAGGCAACTTGCCTAAGGCCACACAGCTAATTCACGAACACCCAAGGGAAAGAACCAGTCTCCTGTCCCCTGGGGCCCCTCCCTGACCTGGAGGACAGCTCACCAGTCCAGCCCTGGTTGGTGGGGGGGGGGGGGTAGGCCTTCCTTCCTGAGCCTCTGCCCTTGGCTCCCAGCACCCTGCTGTCCTTACAGCAGCCCTGGGGTGGGACAGTGGTTCTCGCCCTGGCCTGTCCATTATAATCACCTGAGGAGCTTTGAGACCACCTGCCCCCCGTGCCCAGGTGATGGTTCAGCTGGTCTGGCGTGAGGCCGCCACTAGTATTTTGCTAAGGCTCCCCGGCTGGAAACCCACTGCCCTGGACGTGGAAGGGAGGGAGGCACCCCCAGGACAGGGCACTACTGTTCCAGAGACGAGTCCTTTCCAGTCGGGTTGGTGGCTGCGTTGGTACCAGTCGCACCTGCCCGTGAAGAGTGGTAGTGTCCCCCGACTCACCCTGCCCCCCCGGCCGTGCTTGTCCCCCTCAGTCCATCCAGCCCACGGCCAACCTGGACCGGACCGACGACCAGGTGTACCTCAACGTCATGGAGCTGGTGCGGGCCGTGCTGGACCTCAAGAACGAGCTCTGTCAGCTGCCCCCCGAGGGCTACGTCGTGGTGGTGAAGGTGGGAGCTGGGGCAGGGGAGGCGGAGGCTGCTCCCCCAGGCCTGGAAGGGAAGGGGCTGTGCTTCCTTGCTGGCCAGCCCGGCAGACCCCCTTGGAGCACGGTGGCCCAGGGGAATCGAGTCCCAGGGCAGGCACCACTCAGAAGCGCTCTCCCCAAGGGAAACGTGGCTTTCTCCCAAAGCAAGAGGTGACAGTCACCCTGCCCCCTTCTCTCCCCAGAACGTGGGGCTGACCCTGCGGAAGCTCATCGGGAGCGTGGACGACCTCCTGCCCTCCTTGCCATCGTCTTCACGGACAGAGGTGAGTCCTAGTCCTCGTCCCAGCCGGGGCCGAAATCTGTCCCCTTTCTGCTGCACCTCCACCTGTCCCTAGGTGTGCTTCCCTCCAGAGGCACATGAGGACCACCTGGCTGCCTCACTTCTGCCCTCTGAGTCCCCAGGGGGCTTCTGCACAGCACATCTGATCACACTTACTCGACTGCAGTGCACCGTGAACATAACTCTATATGCACTGGGAAGCCAAAAAGGTCATGTGACTCACTTTATTACAGTATTCGCTTTGTTGAGGTGGTCTGGAACCGAATCCACGATACCACCCGGGTATGCCTGCACTGCGCAATGTGCTAGCTAGCGCTGGAGACAAAGCGGTCCCTGATCTCTTGACTTGACGGCAGACTGCCACCTTTACCTCTGGCCATTCTCTCCGGCGCGAGGGGACGCTGCCACGAAGGGAGGGTCTGTCCCGCTGGGTCTGGGCTGTCTGTGATTTCAGTCCTTGCAGACCCAGCTCCAGTCTGCACAGAGCATTGGATTCAGCCCAGGCCTAGGGGGCTGAGTTGCCCCCAGGGAACGTCCCATGGCCTCAGCCAACACGCAGGTGGACACCCCCCCACACTCCCGGCTTCCCCATCCTCCAGGCAGAGACTCGTGGACCCTCAGCCTCCCCCATATGCTCTTCCTACAGATCGAGGGGACCCAGAAGCTGCTCAACAAAGACCTGGCGGAGCTCATCAACAAGATGCGGCTGGCGCAGCAGAACGCGGTGACCTCCCTGAGCGAGGAGTGCAAGCGGCAGATGCTCACGGCCTC